CCCTTTTCCTTCCTTCCTCCCCTTCATTGCCTGCCTGCCTTCTTCTCCCTTCCTTCCTCCCTTTCTTTCTTTCTTTCTTTCGCTCTTTCTCCCTCCCTTTCTTCCTCCCTTTCTCTTTTCTTTTTCTTTTGCTCTCTTCCTTCCTTCTTGCTTTCTTTCTACTTTAATCCCTTTTCCTTCCTTCCTCCCCTTCATTGCCTGCCTGCCTTCTTCTCCCTTTCTTCTTTTTTCTTTCTTTCGCTCTTTCTCCCTCCCTTTCTTCCTCCCTTTCTCTTTTCTTTTTCTTTTGCTCTCTTCCTTCCTTCTTGCTTTCTTTCTACTTTAATCCCTTTTCCTTCCTTCCTCCCCTTCATTGCCTGCCTGCCTTCTTCTCCCTTCCTTCCTCCCTTTCTTTCTTTCTTTCTTTCGCTCTTTCTACTAAATTCCCTTTTCCTTCCATCCTCCCCTTCATTGCTTTCCTTCCTTTCTCTCCCTTTCTTCCTCCCTTTCTCTTTTTTTCTTTTGCTCTCTTCCTTCCTTCTTGCTTTCTACTTTAATCCCTTTTCCTTCCTTCCTCCCCTTCATTGCCTGCCTGCCTTCTTCTCCCTTTCTTTCTTTCTTTCGCTCTTTCTACTAAATTCCCTTTTCCTTCCATCCTCCCCTTCACTGCTTTCCTTCCTTTCTCTCCCTTTCTTCCTTTCTTTTTTTTCTCTTTCTTTTTCTACTAAATTTCCTTTTCCTTCCATCCTCCCCTTCATTGCCTGCCTGCCTTCCTTCCCCTCCTACCTTGTTTCTCTTTCTCACTTTCTTTCTACTTTATTCCTTTTTCATTCCTTCCTCCCCTTAATTGCCTGCCTGCCTTTCCTTCACCTTCCTCCCTTTCTCTCGTTCCTCCCTCTCTCTCCTTTCTTCCTCCCCTTCGTTCCTTTCTCCCCTTCCTTCCTTCCTTCTTCATTCATTCATTCAATTCCTATAGAAGAGAATCCAGATAGTCCTCGCCCTACAAGATTTCATTTAGTGGCCATTCAAAGTTACAGCAGCTCTGAAAAAAAAGGGATTTAGGGCCATTTTTCACACGTCACGTAATCACGATCAAAACTCAGACGCTTGACAACCGAACTCGTATTTATGACGGTTCATATAATCCTGGGGTCATGTGAAACACCTCCTCCCCCTTTTTTTTGCAACATTCCGGCAAGCGAAGTTGACGGGAAAACTGGATCGGCTTAACAACCCACGTTAGTGCCTTAAGAACTGCAATGATTCCCTTAACAACCAGGGCAAGAACAGCCGTAAAATGGGGTATAATTCACTTAACAAATGTCTGTCAGGCCTGCAATTATATTCCTTTTAGAATTTTGGCCTGCCACANGGGGGCAATATGCTGACTCTGTAAACCGCTTAGAGAGGGCTGAAAGCCCTATGAAGCGGTATATAAGTCTAACTGCTATTGCTATTGCTATAGTCGATCCTGACTCTAGGGGGCAGTGCTCATCTCCATTTCAAAGCTGAAGAGCCAGCACTGTCCAAAGACGTTTCCGTGGTCATGTGGCCGGCACGCCTTCGAAGGCACACGGATTGTTGTTCCCTTCCCACCAAAGGTGGTCCCTATTCTTCTATTTTTTTTATGTGCTTTCCAACTGCTAGGTTGGCAGAAGCTGGGGCAAGTCACGGGAGCTCCCTCCATTACGTGGTGCTAGGGATTCGAACTGCGGGCCTTTCTGATCGACAAGCTCAGCGTCTTAGCCACCGAGCCACCGCGCCCTATAGTATTCCAGCTAGAGTCAAGACACAGGATCTTCTCTGTTGGGATCCTCCTGGCCAGACCCCTTCAAAAAAACGACCGAAACTGACTTCATCCCAGTGGAATAGGCCACGGTCCGGTCAGTTTCTCAGCAATATCAGTTCTCGAACCTCACTCTCTTTTCCTGCAGCCGTTCCTGCTTGTGCTTTAGAGAGAGACCGCCCCACGCTTGACATGTTCTGGGCCACAAGAGAGCTCAGCATTGTCTCCTTCGCTTTTCGGGGTGCCCTGCTACCCCCCCCCCCAAAATGGATCGGCCTTCCCAAGTCGGGCCCGCTGGGAGTGGCGCACAAGCTACCCCGTCATGGCTCAGGGCCCGTCCCTCCCCGCCGATACTCACGTTTTGCTGCCCGGCGGCTCGATCGGGCGCGGCGGCTCCGAGGCGAGACCCCCGATGTCTAGGACAGACTCCTCCGTCACCGTTGGATTGAGAGGCTCTGGCCTGCCCTGTGGGGGGGGGAGGGGTTAATTTAGCAGGAAGGGGCCACAGGTCCCGCAGCCCCCCCCAAATTCGAAGCGGAGGAGCTGGGACACTCCACCCCCCGAGGAGGAGACACCACCACCCCCGGAATGCCCGCGTACTCGTTCTGGAAATGTGCTCTCGGCCTGCATGCTGCGTGCTGGTGGTTGTGGTGGTGGGGTGTGGCTGTGTTGCCTCGCAGGAGGGGAGGGGGTCCTTCTCCCTTCTTCCCTGGGGCTGGATGGGATCTCTTGGTGCTGGGCTTTGGCGCTGTGGGGTGGGAAGCAGGCCCCGGGTCGGGAGGGCTCTTTGGTGGGGGGGAAGCTGGTGCTGTCCCGGGAAGCTTCGCGGCTGCGGGACTAGGGGGGAAAAAGAAAGAGAATTTTTGGCACTTCTCGGTTCTCCCGAAAAGGCTGGGTGGGTTAAGGTGAAATATAGATCTTTTTTTTCTTTCTTTCTTTCTTTTTTTCTCTCCCTCCCTCCCTCACCCTTCCTTCCTTCTTTCTTTCTCTTTCTTTCTACTTTAATCCTTTTTCCTTCCTTCCTCCCCTTCATTGCCTGCCTGCCTTCCTCTCTTCTTCCCTTCTCTTTTTCTCTTTTCTTTCTTTTGCTCTTTCTCCCTCCCTCTCTCTCTTCCTTCCTTCTTCCTTTCTCTTTTTCTACTTTAATTCCTTTTCCTTCCTTCCTCCCCTTCATTGCCTGCCTGCCTTCTTCTCCCTTTCTACTGTATTTCTCTCTGTCTGTCTGTCTGTCTCTCTCCATCTATCTACCTACCTACCTACTCTCACTCTCTCTCCCTCTCTCCTCCCTCCCTCCCTCACCCTTCCTTCTTTCTTTCTCTTTCTTTCTACTTT